CGTGCGCACCGCGGGGGCTGCACACTGGGCCCCGATCACGTGGAGGAGCCCGGTGCCGGAGCACACGGTGTCCCAGCTCCCGGGCCCTGCCCCCTTATCCCCAGGGGGCAGCCGCCCCTGTTCCCGCTGTTCCGGGAACTCAGCCCCTGAGTCCTAGAAGTCTGCCCCACCCCTCGCCCCCTGGTCTTGGTCTTCAGGTTCACCCTTTTCTGAGCCCGTGTGCAAACCCAGCCTTGTGCTCACGTCCCTCACTTGGCCGGAGGCCCGGAGTTGTGTGCAGAAACGTGGGGGATGTGACCTTCACCCCTCACCCCCTGCCCCAGCTCACCCTCCTGTTCCCCGCACAGATGCCCCTCCTTCCTCGTTTCCTGTTTACAGCCACGCGGGCGGGAGTATAGAGCGGCCCCTTCCCCCTTTCTTCCCTTCTCCCGACTAGAGCGGTGAGTGGGCATGTCCTGATCTTCCTTTCACTGAACTTTCCAGGGTTTGCTCAGCCGAGCGGGTCCACCCCACTCCAGGGTGGAGGTTCCACAGCATGGGATGCAATCCCCCCCCCCCACCCCGCCCCGCAAGGAACGGATTCATTTTAGGCACTTGGCTGACCTGGCATAAATAACAAGCAAGAATTATGTTATTTCCCTTTCGGTGTTCCTGGCGATTACATAAGGGTTAGTCTGTGCCAGTCTTGCTTCAGCACTTTCACTCTTTAAACCCTACCAACTCTAAAGGGAAATCCCAGGACTACACGCGGCACAAGGAGTTTATAAACAGCCTGGTCGTGTGCTGGGAAGTGGTGTCCGGGATCTGACTCCAGTCACTTGCCAAAAGAAAGAGAAAGAACCTTCCCTTTGGCCCTGGCTGGTTTGGCTCAGTGGATAGAGCATCAGCCTGGGGACTGAAGGGTCCCAGGTTCAATTCTGGCCAAGGGCATGTACCTTGGTTGCAGGCACATCCCCAGTAGGGGGTGTGCAGGAGGCAGCTGATCCATGCTTCCCTCTCATCCATGTTTCTAACTCTCCATCCCTCTCCCTTCCTCTCTGTAAAAAATCAATAAAACATATATATTAAAAAAAAGAACCTTCCCTTTGGCCCAGAGGTATGTCCCTCACCACCTCTCTGTGTCCAGCTGAATCCTGGGAGGGACACAGTGATCCCTACAGAAGGAATACACATGTCTGTGACCTGTGACTCCGTTCTAGGTCTGGCAGTAAACCGATTCTCATTTTCGGTCATGGTAAGGAGTTTGCTTTTCATAGAAATACAGTCAAGGAAAGATGAACTTTAAAAATTAAGTAGACAAATGGTGCAGGTGATGGCAGAAATGGTGAGCCCTTCTGTATCTGCTAGGGACACGGCCTGTCTTCTCTTGCTTTACATCCCTAGCACTGGTCCTTCTTGGTGGGAGAAAAGCTACCCTCCTCGGGCCACTGGTTTCATGGTCACGTGGTCGACAGGGACAGCACAAGGCACCGCAGGCCTGGTGGGTTCATCTGCAAGCAGAAAACTGTCCCCTGTGCTGTGGATGATACATATAAATCGGTTCTTGGAGAGAGAGATTGAAACATCAATGATGAGAGAGAATCATTGATTGGCTGCCTCCTGCCCCCACCCCTCCGGGGTCAAGCCCACCACCTGGGCATGTGCCCTTGATCAGAATCAAACCAGGGACTCTTCAGTCCACAGGCCAACACTCCATCTACTGAGCCAAACCGGCCAGGGCAAACTTTTTCTTAATAATTCACTTTATTTGACCATAGTTGATGTCCGTGAATGTGAGAAACTAGGAAGTGGTCCTCCCCCCAGTGCTTCAGAAGCAGAGGCCTCACAGCCTGTGCCCTGAGGCTCTGGCACTGACAGCAGCTGCCCCTCAGTGACATCACCTTCTTGCCTCAAGGCATTGATCTTTTTGGGAGACTAACTGTTCCATCTAGTACTCAACTCTCTGACTCTCTGAAGGAGTCTCCAGCCCAGCCCTGTGGGCACAGAATTCCTTACTCTTGTTGCACAGGAGAGAAACCAGAGTCAGAGAGTCAGCCCACTTTTCTTATCTTTCACATATTTCACAGCAAGAGAATGTGGCAAACGGGTCAGGGTGGACTAAAGAAAAAAAAAGCGGTTTGAACATGTTGCTCTGGTTACTTGGGGAGCAGGCTCTCCCCGACTTCATGCACAGCAGCTGCACTTGTCAGAGGCTCCCTTGCAGACGCAGCCCTGGGCGCACTTGGCACAGCCCACGGGGCAGCAGGTGCAGCAGCCTGGGGGGAAAGGGCAGAGGGAGAAGTCAGCACACATTACGGGCACCTCCCTGCCCAGCAGCAGGCCTGGCACAAGCTACCCCACCAACCCCAGACGAGCCTGAGTTTCAGATGGCAGGTGGGAACCTTTGGAAAGGGTCCCACCCCTAGGAAACGGCTGCTCTGCCATCCTGGGCCCGGACAGGTCAGAAATCTTAAAGAGGCAGTGCCAGGGCCTGGGGGAAAGGGGTTGGGGGGCGGGATGTAAGGGGATAGAGGAGAAGGCAATGGAGTCCGCCCCCAGCCTCCCAGGACCATACAATGAAGTGAGGAAAGTCCTCAAGACCAGGGAGGGGGCAAACCCCGGCAGTGCCCAGGAGGGTCCAGAAAGCTTTGGGCTGACTCTAGGGAAAGGGCTGCACCAGCAGGTGGGAGAGACCAAGTTCATGTGCATAAAGGGTCAGGACACTGGAGGGGTCAGAAGGCTCCATCGTCAGGACACAGGTTCTAGCTGGGGCTCCATCCCCGACACTGTTTGCTGACTCCCCTGGACCTCAGTGTCCCGTTCTAGAAGGAGAGGTTAGACTCCACGGCTCTCTCAGCTATGGTTCTGATTCAGTGGCTGGGGAAGTGGGGTCCCCGGGTGCCTGCTGAGCTCTGGGCTCCCTCCCCACTTAGTTCACCCCCCAAGTTCCCAGGAAGGGCCCTCACTCACTCTTCTTGCAGGAGGTGCATTTGCACTCTTTGCATTTGCAGGAGCCAGCGCAGGCGCAGGAGCCACCTGCAAGGAGGAGAAAGATGAGCAGTGAGATGCCTGATGCAGGAGACACAGCCGTCCTGCGCCCGGGCCGCCTCTTCTGGGCGTAAAGTGAGCGCGCGGGCTCCTGGGCGCCACCAAGCGGTGCATCAGCGCAAGTGCCTCTTCTCCTCTTGCTTTGGACCAACTGCCTCATCTCTGCTGGAAATGGACCCCAACTGCTCCTGCCCAGCTGGTAAGGAACCCGGGCTCTGGACCTCAGGAGGCCTCTTACTCACCCTGAGGGAGAGGAGGGAGTATTTTGAGCTTGAGAGGAAGCAGACGCCTTAGAGAGAGAGCAGCTTCTGTGCCTTCTCCCTGGCCAAGGGCCCTCATCCGATTGGAGCATTTGCATTCTCCTAGTGGTTCCTGGGTAGAGGTTGTCCTGCTTCACATCATCAGGTTTTTTTTGGGGGGTGCGGGGGGAGAGGGGGCACTGCTGGCCCAGGACTCTAAGTTGTCCCTGCGGGTTGGAGGCAGGGAACAGTGTGTCTTCTGGGCCGAGGACATAAGGTCCTGGCCCCCAGACACAGCCTAACTGAACTGGGTCTGGAGCCTGGGACCATCCCTGGGGGGTAAGCACAAGGGAGTGCACCGCCCTCTCTAGCAGAAGGGCAGAGAAGGTGGGGTAGGCCCCCATCTGTTCCACGTGGGACAGGAGTTCCCGGGGCTGGCCCCTGCCCAGGGGAGGGGTGTGGGGAGCAGAGTTGAGGAACTGCAGTCTCTCCTGCATCAGGCATCTCACTGCCTGTCTATCTCCTCCTTGCAGGTGGCTCCTGTGCCTGCACCGGCTCCTGCAAATGCAAGGACTGCAAATGCACCTCCTGCAAGAAGAGTGAGCGAGGGCCCTTCCTGGGAAGCTGGGGGCTGGGGAGTGCGAGGAGGGAGCCCTGAGCTGGTTGGGAGAGGAGGGATCAGGAGAATTGGTCTTCCTGTGCCCCTGGGAAGCAGTCACTGCCTCTGCGGGCTTTCTGCCCTGCTCTGTCCTGGACTCAGATGGGCAGGCCAGCCTTCTCCTGGTGAAACCCAAGCCCTAGCGGTCTTACTAATTGTTTCTCCATGGAGCATGCTCTTTTGTCCTCATGGTCCTTTGAAGCTGAGGGCTGTGCTAGGCCTGCTGTTGGGCAGGGAGGTAGCTGGTAGTCATCGCTGACCCCTCATTTTCCCTGCTGTCCCCAGGCTGCTGCTCATGCTGCCCCGCGGGCTGTGCCCATTGCACCCAGGGCTGCACCTGCAAGGGAGCGCTGGACAAGTGCAGCTGCTGTGCCTAAAGTCGGGGGACAGCCTGCTCCCCAAGAAACCAGAGCAACATGTTCAAACCCGCTTTTTTTTTTCCAGTCCACCCTGACCCGTTTGCCACATTCTCTTGCTGTGAAATATGTGAAAGATAAGAAAAGTGGTTGAGTTTGCTGACTCTGGTTTCTCTCCTGTGCAACAAGAGTAAGGAATTCTGTGCCCACAGGGCTGGGTTGGAGACTCGCCTAGATCTTCAGAGAGCTGAGTTCTAGATGGAACAGTTAGTCTCCCAAAAAGATCAGTGCCTTGAGGCAAGAAGGTGATGTCACTGAGGGGCAGCTGCTGTCAGTGCCAGAGCCTCAGGGCACAGGCTGTGAGGCCTCTGCTTCTGAAGCACTGGGGGGAGGACCACTTCCTAGTTTCTCACATTCACGGACATCAACTATGGTCAAATAAAGTGAATTATTAAGAAAAAGTTTGCCCTGGCCGGTTTGGCTCAGTAGATAGAGTGGACTGTGGACTGGAGGGTCCTGGGTGGTGGGCTTGACCCCCAGTGGGGGGCGTGCAGGAGGCAGCCATTCAATGATTCTCATCACTGATGTTTCAATCTCTCTCTCCCTCTTCCTTCCACTCTGAAATGAATAAAAACATATATTTTAAAAAAGAAAATGTTTGAAAGGAAAGAATACAAAACCTATTTTGTCATTCAACACATGCAATTGCAATAAATATATGAAGAACCAATAAGAACATTAGATATTTACAAACGCTGTGCGCATTTCCACCAGAAGTGTGCACTGAGCACTTGAAAACAAGTCGTGCACGGCCCAGTGTGTGGAGCACACAGCCTGGGAGGCACGCACACCCCTGCCCCTATAACCCCACAGGGAACCACAGCCCTTGTCTTGCCCAGTGTCTCTGACAGGGCACCTGCCACCCCCTTTGAGCTCCTGCTGTGGTTTGGCTTTGAATCTCAGGAAGTCCCTCCGGAGTCAGACAGATATCTGCCCCCACCCTATCCCCAAGCCCAGCCCTTGGCTCCCTGAAGCCGGCAAGGTGACTAGGGGTGTGGAGAGAATTGCAGGGAGGAGCCGGCAAGGCCTTTTCTCAGCAAGTGGGAGGGCTGAGCATTTCCAGATGAAGGACTGTGTCTGCCCAGGCGGGGTGCTGGCGGGCTCTGCCCTCCAGGGGGCGTGCTGTTCATCAGAGGGGCGTGAGGCCCTCAGGGACTTGTAATTAATGACACCAGTTGGCCCCCACTGGCTGTTTGTGGAGGGAGTTGCTATTTGATGTAAAAATCAAAGGGAAAGTCAAGTCCAAGTCCGGTGGAGGGAGTCAGGCCCGTGCTTGCCCGCAGGTGCCCTGGGTGAAGAGGGCTCTCAGCAGCCAGCCTGTGCGAGGCCTCCTGGTTCACAGACCGCTGTGCCGCTTCCTGGCCGTGTGACTGGGGAAGGCCTTTTCCCATCTGCAGAAGGAAATTATATCTGTATCTGAGGAATAAGTGATCGTGCCCCGGCTCCAGGCTAGGGCAGAACAAACAGAGGCTGTGACGATCACTATGTCCACACTGACATTCACAAGGAGAGAATCCTTTTAACTCCCAGCATGCTCCTGGAGAAAGGCTCATTGGTTTTGAACCCTTTGCTCAGGGTCGGAGGCTAGAGATGGCATTAGAACCCAGCTAACCCCGTGCCATGGGGAGTGTGGGCGGCCGGCAATGAGCCCCCTGGGACATGATGTCTCCGGGTGGTCCATCCTGCCTCTCGTTATTCAGAGCTGGGAGAGGCCTTTGAGATAGTCCTGTTGTGCTCCTGGCTTGAAAGATGGTGAACAGGAGCCCAAAGAGGTCACAGGGCTCCACACAGACCTGACTGCCACTCTGCTCTTCCCGCTGCCTCTGGGCCAGGGGTGTGTGGCGTCCCCCTCTTTCCTGTGAGGCCACGGTGCCTGGTGGTGGGGGAGGGCATGATGCTGGGGGCAGCCGGCGTGAGTGCCAACCCCAGCTGTGTCACCGATCGCTGGGTGTCATTACCTGTCTGTGGCTCAGTCTCCTCCACTATGAAAAGGGAAAATAACAGTGTCTGGCTCTTAGGATTGAGTGATCTCATCCATGCAAAGAATTTAGAAGGATGCTGGGCACACTGTGAGTGACCTGTAACATAGAACCCAGAACCTAGAACCTGCTCCCCAAGTAACCAGGGCAACATGTTCAAACCCGCTTTTTTTCCCTTTTTTCAGTCCACCCTGACTCATTTGCCACATTCTCTTGCTGTGAAATATGTGAAAGATAAGAAAAGTGGTTGAGTTTGCTCTGACTCCGGTTTCTTTCCTGTACAACAAGAGTAAGGAATTCTGTGCCCACAGGGCTGGGTTGGAGACTCGCCTAGATCTTCAGAGAGCTGAGTTCTAGATGGAACAGTTAGTCTCCCAAAAAATGAGTGCCTTGAGGCAAGAAGGTGATGTCACTGAGGGGCAGCTGCTGTCAGTGCCAGAGCCTCAGGGCACAGGCTGTGAGGGCTGCTTGCTCCTGAAGCACTGGGGGGAGGACCACTGTTTAGTTTCTCACATTCACGGACATCAACTATGGTCAAATAAAGTGAATTATTAAGAAAAAGTTAGCCCCGGCCGGTTTGGCTCAGTAGATAGAGTGGACTGTGGACTGAAGGGTCCTGGGTTTGATTCTGATCAAGGGCACATGCCCAGGTGGTGGGCTTGACCCCGGAGGGGTGGGGGCAGGAGGCAGCCAATCAATGATTCTCTCTCATCATTGATGTTTCAATCTCTCTCTCC